GACATTACAAGTTAAAAGTAATGAATATCCATCCATTTCATTGTACGCATTAATATATATACATTTATATCGACATGTGGAAAAGTATATCCCTGAAACTTCGAAACCAACGCATGGCATTGACCAGACTACTCAACAGAAATATCCCGACTGGTTGATTTCGGCTGCTAAAGATGCTTATAATAAGATGGACAAGTATTATCCTGAATCTGATGGACTTGTCTACGTAGTAGCAACCGGTAATTTGATTTTAATGTCCTACTTGATTTTTTTATATACAAAATTCCATATTTATTTAATACTTTGCATCACTTAATCCTCGATGCAAGCTGGAATGGTACAAGTCTGTCGAATTTCCAGGCCCAATTATCAACAAATATAAAAAGTAACATCAACATATTTCAAATTTGCATTTATATTTTGATTGGTATAATAAATTATTTATTCTAGAATGATAACGAATGAGTGGAATCAACACTACAAGCCCAACATTAGTACTTCATCTGAAGATATGGACAGCGCAAACTCGACCAGTCAGCTTGTTGAAGATCTTTTTTCACAACAAATGAAGTCACAAAATCTACAGACAAAGTCTGAAATTGACCGATATTTAACGTCGCCGGTAGCAAACGCAAACGATACAGCTGGTGGCCCAGTCAAATGGTGGATGGTGCGTTAGTATTATTATTTTCTATATAAAAATTTTCAAAGTAGTGGAGATTTTTTATATAGAAAGGTTGTACATATTAGACTAAGACAAATTTTAATCACAGGATAGAAAATTCGAATATCCGTCTCTAAGTCAAATGGCCCTGGATTATCTTGCCGTCCCTGGATCTGGTGCATCTGTCGAAAGAATGTTCTCAAATGGGGTTGACTTGATCTCTCACCGGAGGCATTCACTTGCGTCAGAAACCATTCAGAAAGCAATGTGTCTAAGGGGCTGGAAATTATCAGCGAATCAGACAGAATTTAAAAAATTACATCGGCAATCTACAGTAGAAAAATTTTTGGGCGATAAATAGTTAGTATTAAATCCATTCGTGTTATCACTGATTGTTTAAAAATGGAATAAATTTATGCATTAATATGTTGAATACATAGTTTTTCGCTTAGTTTATTTTTTCGAAATATTTCGTTTCGTTTCGGCGAAATTCGAAACGAAACGAACCGAAGCAAGCTATGCTTTCGTTTCGACGAACCGAAATCTGCCCTGTACCGTTTCGAAATTTCGAAACGAAATGTCAAAAATTTCGAAACGAAACGAAATCATCCAATTTCGGTTCGATTTCGTTTCGTTGTGGGCACTGGGTGGATGGTGAAAATGTAACCAACAAGTGAAAATTTGTACATATACATTCAGTGCTAATAACGAAACGAAATATTTTGTTTCGTTTCGTCGAAATTCGAAACGAAACCGAAACGAAATGGGTTCGAAACGAAATATGTTTCTGTTTCGTTTCGTCGAAACGAAATATTTTTTGTTTCGTTTCGAATTTCGAAGTTTAAATGAATACGAATTTCCTTCTCAATCTTGCAATTTCATTAAAAATCTGGTTTTAGGTAAAATGATTATTGTTTCTCATCTCATCTCCTACAATTCTACGGTATATTTTGAAGTGTCATTAGATTTTTACATCATTTTGATACTAAATATGTATATACTAAACTTCTATACGCATCCTTCTAAAAAAATTAATACTGCATATACATGTATGGGCAACCAATTCTCACTTCTGGATTTGATTGACAATTTATAATTAATTATGCTACAGATTGACCATTTTTGTATTGTTTGATAGAGAACCACTAATTTACTTTTTCTCAATGTTAGTGAATGCATAGATATTCACTGACATCAAAAATATTAGTATGTATATCTACATATTGTTTTTTTATGGTCCAGCCAACCACTTATATACATAGGTTAGGTTAATAAAAATCTAAATCTAGATCTTATCATACAAACTTTAAATGTGTATGATAACATTTTGGTTAAATTTCAAGTTTAACAAAATTGTATCTACCTCATTTTAAATTTTTTGGTAATGGAATAAATAATTATTATATATCGTCTGCCTAATTCTAAAATGACTTAAGTGCCGTCGATGCTTAATTCTAAAATGACTTAAGTGCCGTCGATGCTTAATTCTAAAATGACTTAAGTGCAAAATAAAAACCAGTAAAATGACTAAAATGCAATTTCAGAATTAAAAAACCAATTATTTGTGCAAAACAATTTTTCCTACCACAATATGAAAATCTAAATATGTTTATCATAAGTATGAATAAAAATAGTCATTTTACTCGTTTTTATTTTGCACTTAAGTCATTTCAGAATTAAGCATCGAAGGCACTTAAGTCATTTTAGAATTAAGCATCGACGGCACTTAAGTCATTTTAGAATTAAGCATCGAAGGCACTTAAGTCATTTTAGAATTAGACCGACGATATTGAATTACTTTCCAAATAAAATATTACGTTTTGTTTCGTCGGGTTTCGGAACGAAACGAAACGAATCGAAACAGACAGTCATTTCGTTTCGACGAAACGAAATCAGCCCTGTCTCGTTTCGAAATTTGGAAACGAAATCTCAAAAAATTCGAAACAAAACGAAATGGTAACATTTCGGTTCGATTTCGTTGCGTTGCGAGCACTGTATACATTATCCGCGGAGGTGAAGGGACATCGTCCACCATGAAATACAGAAAATTCCTATACACATTACTCTCCGACTTTATTCTATCCATTACTTTTGGAATGTTTAAAGTTAAAGGGACCTAAATTTTCACAGCGAGAACACGAGAAGGCACTAAGCATAGGATTCAAGCAATCACAACTAGTAAAATTAACCTACTGGAATCTAAGGTAAAAAAAAACTTACGTATTTTACTCATTTCTCTAATTTGTATCCGTTCGGATAATATACGGAGTTAAATTTTTATTCAGTTAAAGACGCCAGGAAATACGTAAATCGTATGCCTTCGGGAAATTTAGGTTCAAATACAATCTCCTAGTTGTATCGAATAAATATCTGAAATTTTGTTTAAAGAATTCTTAGGTGGATGTCAGTTCTCGTCTATTCCTGCTTCGAATGATCAAAGGTCGACGTTTACATCCCTTCCTAAGAAAGTTGAGGACGACGATTAGTGGAAAAATAACTAGCCAAATACAATAATAAAATATATACGTCCCTCTTCTTAACAAAGTTTTGGTTTCTTGTAAGCTCTTATGAGTTTTACTTCCAACAGTACTGTAGAAAATATAGGAAACAATTTCGATAAGGTAAAAATTCGCAGCTAATTGCCAGACAGATAGGACAAATTCTATTCACGCATTTATTTGTAATAACCTTCCTCTTGTCGATCATGTGGTCTGAAGGATGGAATCTATAACATCAAATGTGGACCATTATTATTCTATCTATGCACGTCGGTAAAGACTAGGAACGAATATAACAAAACGAAGGACGATATAACGTTCCATTTATTACTCAAATCTTATCATCCTCTCAAATATTTTAAGAGCAAATCTACGTGTTCTTACCTACATATGTGCATGCGTAGACATGTCGCATATCGTGCAGCACGAATGTGGTTCAGAATTAGCAACCAATGCTAGATTTGCCATGGCATGAGTAACCATAGCAATGTAAGGCATCACATATAACCTCGAAGCGTATTGTAATGTCATATCAGATAAAAAGTGCCGTGGGAGTAACGGGTGGTCAAAACCTGTGCATAAAAAATGATAGGAATTTAGCTATATGAATTTATTTAGCGGAGGTGGATTCGAACACTTAAAACCTTCCATTGATTATTCACAATATGCAGAATAGGTGCATGAATTGATACGTCCAACAAACCTTTAGAAAAATTACCGTAGAAACAAGGGAATCAGATATTCGTGGTTGTTTAAGATTTTACATGGTAAAACCACATTTTCGAGAATTTAGGATTTTAAATAAATAATAAGCTTAATTGAGTACGACTGAAAAATGCCAAGTTCAAAGGGATGTTATTAAAAAATATTCTGATTCTTACTGAATATTTATATCATCTGAGTAAAGAAATCGTCATAAAATTTAAGTCATAATGCTGACCATAGCGAAATTTGTGGCCCAGTTTCTTGTACTACATGAATCCAAGGCTAACCAAGTATCACTTTCTCAATCCCACTTTAGTTATCTTCTGCAAAACATGACTAATTGTGATCTACAAATTCTTCACGACGGAGCAGACATATCTATTCTACATGTCCCAGTCAAAGTAATCTGGATGCCTAAATATTTAGATATCATTTTGGAAAATATTTCCTTTCCAGCTATGAATGTACTACTGTCTCGAACTGCCCAGTATAAATTTAGCTTTCTCGCACCAAAATATGTCCCCTATAGCACTAGCAGACACAGACTGGACACTTGGATTGATATTTCTGTAAACTACCACACCTACAATATCGTGAAGAACACCGAAAAACGATACATTCACAGTGATAACCTCTTTATAATACTACTCGGTGAGTTGTTCAATGCAATATTGGGATTTAAGTTTGGGAGTATCACCTTAGCTAGCTTGCATAACACCTATACTTTACCTTATTATACGTCGAAATATGCGGGATACCACAATCCTACGTTCTAGCAAGTCCGGCAAATTGTCACAATATCGCTGATTGGAGCCACCGTATGACGACGGTGGCTACGTGGCAAGATAAATTGTGTATTGCTAACCCTCTCGGGTACAAGTGACTAAATGCTGAACCCTCTAGTGCGTCCAACCCTTTCGATCGGGACGAAATCTACACAATTCACGACTTGGCTAATATCGTATTGTCAAGAACGAACATTACTATCGTTTACGATAACAATATTTCTTGTGGATATGGTGACCCTCAGCTGCAGTTTACGACGCCGAGACAAAAATTATAACCGCCGCTACCGAGAAAAATCGTCGGCACGCTGGCGTTAAATGGGCAGATCGGAGCTCTGGTAGACTTCATACAAGGGAAATCTTTTAATTATTAAAACTTGAAAAATTTATTATGATTAAAACATTTATGAAAGAAATTAATTATCCTAAAGTTCATTAACTGCACGTAGATAAGGCAAATGTTACAAATAGTTTAGTAGACCGCGGTCAAGCACGAAATATCTATCGGAACCCTGCACCATTTGCAAAATACTAAACCCTGCGAACATATATGTCTCCTCGAGCAGCAAGGTGCTTTCCCAGTTCTGACAAAATATTGCGTAGCTGTTATTCACTTTGTGAAGCATGCCGTCCTCCAATTTTTTTGGCGATGGTTTCTCCCTCCAATCCAGAAGTGGTCGGTTTTTACCCTTCTCATCACCACCCTCAGGATCCAGCACTTCCAACTTGGTACAGAAATTTGAGGAATTGATGAAGGCTCCTTTCGAAATATTTTGGCAACTTGTAACGGTTGCTCCAATTCGGTGCAGATCAAACTCTGGTGCGTACAAAAATCCAAAATTTGGCAAATTGTGCCTGGCGGGGGATGAGAAGCGGGATATTTGTCTCCTTTCAGTGTGGGTCGGGCTGGTAATTGAATGGTGGCGTTTATCTAAGACAAATACGGTGTAGTTAGTATTTTTTGTTTGATTGAGCAATTTCTCATGGTGCAAAAAATGTGAGAAAAACAAGATAGTGAGAGGTTCAAGAAACCCAAGGAGTTAGCGCCATCTACAGAGCCACCCCCTCAAGTTAACTGCTGGTTCGATGGCGCCTTACTACAGGGAGCTTACCAACCTCAAGAAACGTGTAGTTCTGCTTCACCGTGATGACCGTGGGGTGCAGGGGTGCCCTTGGCAGGAAAAGATAGGTCGGCCCAAGGAACCAAATGTCGCTTGTCCTGGTTCAAATATAAATTCATGCATTGTCATAAATCTTAATTAATTAAACAATTAAAAAGTGAATCCTACCCGTGGAATCCCACGCCAGGGACGACGACGGTGGTCGCGTCGAGCAACACCGCCGTGCTGTGTGGGGCCTCCATGTGATTCATGAAGGCGATTGCCACGCTTGCGCAGGAAAATCTGTTCTGATCAATCTCCTCTTGCCAAACTATGCGCCAATCGTCTCCCGGGAAATATTTGACTTTACTATCGCCCGCCACGATACTTGTGACGCGCATGGTCTCATCTGATAATTTAAATTGTAAAATTTTATCACTCCGGCAACATATTATTATCAGGCAGACAAAATTTAAAAATGAGACTACCGTGGAGATAATAATCTGTCAAAGGACTATTTTGCCAGGGTTTTAGTCTTTTGTAATTTAATAGTAAATCCATTTTACCAGGATAAATTGCAGCAAACCGTTGACAGATTATCACCGCACAGTGACAGCCTGAATTAGTTTATTGCCCTAATTATTTACGGCGTATGTGGAATTGTTTAAGTACTTACTAAACTGCCAAAATCTTAGCTCCTTCCTATTTTCTTGGAGGTAACCGCCAAGAATGAGGGAAAATGCGGTCGGTATTAAAATTAGTGCTTCTGTAGCTCGCACTATAAACATCCTGTATCCCACCATTGCTATTTTCCGCTGATTAGGAGGAAGGAGCTGATATGTTAACGTGAAGCTTGCAGGGAGTATACTGACCCAAAATTTTTGTTACGAGCAGGTTAACTCTTTGCCTGAGAATGCCTACCTCATTGTTCAGCCTCCTGTTTGGGAGAGTTCATGAATAATAGGCCCTCATGTGGAAGGTTGTGGGAATTGTTTTTGTAACGAATATAAAAAAAAGTTGTTTGTATTGCAAATGAGGACTTTTAATAATATCGATGGATCGAGCTTTTCTTGATGGTAGATAATTCTCGCTTAGTTTTCTATTTCTTGATTTCCATCCATTCCATGAAAGGATAAATGGTTTTCTTAATTTAACCAACATTCAAGGTAGGTTTCCAAAAAGGCTGAAAATATTTGGGATAATGTTTCCTTTGGAAGGGACCGAATCCTTTCTAACGTTAAAATTAGGTCACACAACTTTGAAGTATTTTATTCACCTGATAAAATTTATAAATTAATCAAACCCCTAACAGAGAAATCTTATAAGGATTTAGTTTTAACTGGTTATCACATTAAAGGTAATCTGAAAGTTTTCTAATTTATTTAACCGATAAATAATTACTTGTCCCCAGAAAATAAATTCTGCCTCAAGAATCTATCCCTTATTTAAGAATTTTTACGTTGTATGTAATAACTTATGTAGTAGGGGTTTAATTGGACATGGTATAGAGATGGAATATTCAAAATAGTTTAGCATGTCCAATTTATTAATCTTAACGAGAGGAGCATTCATGGTTGGCAATAAAAGAATTTTAACCCCCCTGGCAAATTTATTTCCTTTAAATACAAGCAACTTTTGACAAATTATCGAATATTCGAAATACCTTATATTAAATATGCCTGGGGATGACCTAACCTGACCCAAAATTTATGTTGCTAGCAGTACAAGTTTCGTACCCAACACAAGTCTACAAGCACCGACTGGCACACAGTGGTCACTATTTATTTGAATATTAAAAATTATCATTAATTACAGATAATGGTAAGTATTGATTAATATAATCAAGTTTTAAACAATGTCCTCTGATGCCATAGAAGAAGTTATTTAAAAAATTGAATAAACTATAAATGTAATTATAGCCGTAAATTATATCATTTGCGTATACTAATAATAAACAGGTAATTGATATTCTAGCTAAAATGTAATCTGAGTATACAAGTTACTCTTAATGATCTTCTTGCAGATTATGTACATACATACGTAGCGGAAATTCTCTGCTTACCTTGCTGATATAACTTGTGGATCCATGTCGTGCTAAAGTAATGAAAAAATGTCGAATCTATGACAGCGCCCGATCTTGCCCAAATCTTTACCCGGGCAAGAAATTATGGCGCCGCATGCCGCTCGCATGGGCTTCTTGTATACATATATATTCCTTTACAAATGTCTTGCGATATATGAAGCAAATAATTATATACTTTGTTCCGTTAAAAAATAAAAACAAAAACGGATAGTGGTTAAAAAGGGATATTCTGCTTCATGTAACAAAGTATGGTGTTTGATTAGCTTTTCTTTTTGCGTATGTATGTATCTACAAAATATATGTACTATTTCAAATACTATAACGTTATTTACTAAATAGATAGGCCACACTTAACTAAATAAAAACAATTTCGAAATTATAGCAATGTTTTACAATTGCACTTTGCGGGATTTAATGTTTTAAAATCTTTCTATCGTATCTCTGAATTCAATTTTACGAGTTAACTCTCACTAGAAATAATCGCATAACCTGTCAGTCGATCGTGACTAATATTTAATCAATATGTCTTGATGAGCTTGAGTTTTGAAAAACAACGTTCATCGCTTGACACTGTAATTGGAGAAGTTAAAAATACTTTTATATTAAACAATTTCGGAAAAGCCTTTTCCAGGTGCATGTAAATTAAGAGTTTCAAGATGTCTATTGGAGTATTTTAATAGATTACTCGAACTGAATCGTTAATAGGCAAGCTATTATAGCCGGGTTTGACAGCCTGCTAATACAGTCAAATTGTTACGGACTTTCTGACTACGAAAAAAATAAATTTTGTGGCTAAGTCGGATACACAATGCCCCCATTGTCCTCCAAGTAAGAGGTATTCAACGATTTTGAGCTTTGTGCAAAAGAGAATAATCAATCAGAAGTTCTGATTCAGAACGATCCATAGCACCAAACATACCTGTTCATATTCATTCAATTTGTACGAGATGAATAATGAATAATTCATTGCATAAATGAATAATGAATGAATAATTCTACATTTCAAAATGAGTGGATTTTCTATTCATTCATTTTCCCCCTATGTTAAATACATGGGGTGTATAAAGAATGAACGAATAATTTATTAAATGAATGAATATTGAATAATTCAAAATGAATCTCGAAATGAATGAATTTTGGATGAATAAAAAAAATTTGAACAGGTATGGCACCAACACACTCGATTTCGATGTGTCATAGGTAATATCTTTAAAGGTATAGCGAAAAAGACAGAAAAAGCAGTGATTAACCATGTCAGGAAAAACCGGGAAAAATTGGTTAAAACGGGATCGACGGTGCCAATATCCATTAGTCTTATATAGATAATCGTATTTGTGATAATTATGCTGCTAAATTGGTAGAATTTTAACTTTTAATTTTTAAGTCAATTTTTAATAAACCCGTTTTGTGTACACGAATAATGGACCATCCCATAACCTCTTTCGAGCTACGTTTATTCTCCCGAACCCCAACGACTGAAAAGTTACAATTTCAGAGGACGTAATTAAAAATTCCTTAGAGACGACGTTTCTTAGGGATTCCCTTTTACATGGAGCTGAATTATTTAGTTATAGATGTTTGGGTTTTAGAATAAAAAAACTCGAAAATTCCAATTTTTAACATTTGGTTGATATAGGAAAAGTTCCAAAATTTATCAAATAATCCACTTTTTACTGTGAAGTTTTCCATAAAATATCAAAGGAATTCTAAAAAAGATGACGTTTATGAACTTTGAGAATTACTTGTGAATACAAAAGTCGTTCACCGTCTCCCAGGCATTTTCTTGCCAAGCGACTATAGCCGCTCACGGGGATGCTTTAATTCGGCGACAAAACTCCTCTTTCGTCTCCATGGGTCGGTCAAAATTACATCGTCGCTCAGAAATTTTAAAAATACGACAATTATCGCTCATAGCCCGAAAGATGTAAATTTAGTAATCGAATATTTATTTGTTAAATTTAAACACAAGTTTCGTCTGTTTTCAAATTAAGGTATTATCGCAAATTATGTTCACATGCAATTATACCTAGTGTAAACCTGGGCGCCTACCGGCGCCCCCCGAATTCTGGCGCCCCGGGCAATTGCCCAACTTGCCCAGCCGCAGATCGGGGCCTGATCTATGATTGCTTTTCTAGTAAGGTTTAAAAAATATATTGAAAACCCTCTACATATGTAAGTATGCTAATTGATTTTAAATTGATCAATATTTTAGAAAACAATTTCGATTTGTTTTATCCATATCCAAATTTTTTTTGCAAAACTTCGCTCTGTGTGATAGACCTTCATCTATACTGGTTAAGTCACTAGGTCCATTTTTTCCATTTTTTAATTATTCTAATGTTGATTAGAGGTCAAGTTGCTTCAATTGTTTTTCATATATGCATGATCAATAATTATAAAAGATAGTGCACTCTAAACAAAATCAAGTATTGCGCAAATTTGATCAAACTTAACACAACATCGGGTTAAAAAAGGGGATGACTCACCTTTCGGTTAAATCTTACTTCTCTAGGCTGAGTAAAAGTTTTACTCAACTTTTGGACAAAGCGTGCTCTTCAAGTCGTTGAATTTTTGTTACGATAAAAGCACAAAAGTTACACCATCAAATAGACGAATTTTGCTAAAGTAGTTGTTAAATATTTACTCTTTGTTCCAATCAAATTTTATCACATTCAGGAATGATAATTGCACTTTTGTATGATCGAATTTTGACCTTTTGATGATTATTGTTTATTCCATATGCTTACTAAAATTTGCTCTTTGCTTTATCATTGAATGCTCTTTAATTTATAATTATTTATTATGTTGTTTACTAGAGCTAGTACATTTATAATTTATAATGACAGTGATATTAATAATATATTACTTATATTACTGTACTTATTAAGCGTATTAACAATACTGACAATAAATAAAAATAATACCCGTACATAATACCCGTACGTCTTATTTTAATTAGTAAAATTAAATAATCAATCTTCATTTAATCCTTCGTCCATGGTGATTTGTGACGAAAGCGACAAGACTGAAGACGATGACGACCTAACTTTGTTAGTTTGGAAAACTGTGCAGTCGAAAAACTCCCAAACACTCTTACACTCTTCGGGAAATTTAAGTTCTAGGACGTAAAAGATCTTGAAACAGAGATCCACAGCTTTTACGAAAGACTCTGCAGCAATGAGGCGCCGTTCCACCATGACGAAAGCTTGTTGGATGTCAAGAAACTTCAAGTTTCCTATACAAATAACAAATGGCTGCGTTCTCACGGATTCTGCTAAACGAAATTCTTCAAGATCTTCATTTCTCTATAATAAACACAAAGTAATTAATATTATTATGAAAAAATAATTTTATTTTTTAAATTAATTTAAAGAAGGAACTGACTTGAAAAAACTGTACGAAGAATTCAGAAGAATGGGCTCCGGTAATTCTTCGTCTCTTTTTGCCATCTTGAGTATAAGCAGATTTTGAAAACAAATACGGAAGCAATAGTAAAGATCCGGAATTTATTTCGTCTATAAGAACAAGTAAATTAATAATAATTAATATTTATAAAATACCGCTTAGTTTAATTAAACGTCATTGATAAAATAATTAATACCCTTCGACCATTCCTCTACGTTCTTGGAAATCCCAATTTCCCCATGAATATTCGCCCTCGTTTTTACTGCATATTTCCAAATTTGATTTGAAATACAAGTCCATTTGTGCAGCATCATATCGCCTTTGTCAGGATATCGAATGGAAAAATCTAGGTCAATCTGACACACAATTAAAAATGGAGGTATTATTATTAAGGGAAGTAATTATGTGCAAGTCCGTGTTAATTAAATTATTTTGGAAAAATTACCATCCCAGTAGTATCAATTAGTCGCGGCCATTCATTTAAGGTAGTCAACAGATCATTTGTCTTTAACTCTTCTGATCTCAATCGAAAAGTCTGCGCCATGTATTCTGCAACTTGATTTAGTGGAGATGAAGTATAACGCAACCACGATTTCTTGTCTTCTTCATCTTCTGATGGCTCTGAATTTAAAAATTAAATCATTTTTTAATAATAATATAAAATGACGTAAGTATAAGTAAGTACATTTAATATATACATTTCACATACTAGTAATCTCCAGACACGATTCAGGTTTCCGAGGCTTAGTGACGTTACGTTTTCTCCGCAAATGTTTCAACCTGTCTTCAATGAGCCCTGACGCCGAATTTTTTTTCTTCGTTTTTTCTTTCACCTCAGATTTTCGGTAAAACATATTCTAAAACCAAAGAATAGATTTCGGCATTGATAATAAAAGTGCATAAATATTTCTTACCTCAATGTTTTTTTGCTGCTCACAATTAAGATTTTGAAATAGCTGCATTGCAACACATTTCGCCAAGTTCTCTTTAACTTCTTTTGAAGGACTGAAAGAAACAAAACACAACAAATCAATTATTACTTCCAAATTATCGGTTTATATGTAGGTATAACTTACTGATATGAATAGTTCTTCACCAGAAAGTTAACAATACGACGCTTTATGAGAGTTTTTGTGTCGGAGGTGAGGAGGCTGGATCGCGATATTTCTTCAAGCACGTTCATTCCATTTGCAGTTCCTTTGTCTTCATCAGAATTTAAAATGATTTGTTTAATATCCTAAAATCACATACATTAGAATGTCAGGAATTGATCTTTAGAAAAAAGTCTTAAATTAATCTTCCAAATAAAATACTTATATAATTTTAGCTCTTACAAAAAGCGGATTGAACGTGACAAAAGTAATTTCTACGTGCTCCTCTTTATCTGGTTCCTGACCGCAATTTACGGAATTGTCATCCCCCTGAAAATATAATTGTAATTTAAACAGCTTATTTCATTTAAATGGATATAAATGAAATCATATTTAAATAAAACCAAAATTTTACCAGCATAATATTCATGTTACCATTTGGTGCACGCTGGCAAGTTTCGGAAGTTTGTTTGCCTAGCTAAATATTTACATAAATGTTATTCTAATTAAATTAAAAATATACGCAAACTCATCTGAACACACATATTTCTACAATTACATAAAAAATCAAATTACACAAATTCTATTGGACAGCAGATAAGACCGTGGCCCTGAGGATCGTCCAAGCAATTAACAACGACTAAGGGACTCTCTAAATAAATTTTTTCAGGGTCAATAAGTACAGGATTTTCAAAGCTAACTATTTTGAACAAATATGAATTCCTAAACTTTTCCTCGTACTTCACCTGCCTGACTACTAAATGTGTTCTCTCATTATGAAAAAAACACAGACTAATTTGAACAAACTGTACACTTGTTGATTCATTTTTTAAAATAAAATAATTTTCAGGTTTTATTTTCGTACCACAAATTGTGACCGAGTCCATGCAAAATATTTCGTCACATGCATTTAATGAAAGTTTTGAAAAATCAAACGATATTCTCAGATCTTTAAATGCAATTTTGGAACCAGATCCATAAGTTATTTCTCCAACTAATTCGCATCCAATTGAAAATGCCAAATTCAGTGCCATTCTTCTTGAAACAGTTTTTGCAATATTTCTGAAATTATAGCAATTCTTGCCAATTGTTTTTGCAAGACGGTGTTTGGCTTCAAACCGCATACACCAATAATTCTTAAGTGGCCCTAATTGTCTTATAGCTTGTGCATAATGCAATAAGTGATGAAACTTTGGGGTTAACTTAGATTGAGACAGTTTGAGAAATGCACTGTGATGCTCAGCAATTAAATTATTTAACAAAGAAACCCCAACCCTATTTATTCTTGGTGCCATTAAAATACGTATAATGCGGCGAAGCATGATAATTAAATCCCAGTGCTTATCATTCCTACTAAACTTATCACCAAATACTGCAGGAAATATTAAGAAAAAATGGTTCATTTCGGAAGCAGAAAAGCAGGATTTTTTGTCGCCGTCAACAAAACTGGAATCGATTTCAGGCAATTTTGATACTGCATGACTATTCTTTTTAAATGAAGATGAGAGCCTGTGATTAATCTGCCTTATAGATAAACTACCATTATTAATGACATGTTTCAAAAATAATTTCAGTTCGGTGATGCAGATTCCTTCTAAAATATCATGCATGATATCAGGAGCAAAATTATTAGTGACATGAAATCCCTTAATGTCATTAACAATTGAACTTTCCCTAATCCCCGTCAAACTAACATTTTCCAAGCCTAAATCATTTTCATATAGGGATAAAATGCGCCTCTTATGGATTGATGCTACTACAGATATGTATGTATTTTCCTTCTCCATTTTGCAAAAACGACAGCGAAAATTTGCGTTAAAACTTTCCACAAATCCTAAAATAGTATGCAAACCAAGATTATCGCCACAAAACTGGAGTACTTGAACGTGACTAAATTGGCTATTTGCAAGGACAGCTATCTTTTGTGAACTTTCATGCAATGAATTTAATTCATCAACTAATGGTCCAAGAATTAAATTCATTCCATATTCTTTGACAAATTTGGATTTGACTACCACAAGCGGAAAAATATTTTCAAGCTTTGCATTTAATTGAGGTGGAAAATTAGCAATTACAAAATAAAATAAGGCCAGTTTGTGGATTTTTGCTTTTGTTCCCAACGGGTTACAAATTTCCACATCATCATAATAAATTTGTAAGCATAATGGATTATTTTTAAAAGTTTTAAACAGATCACCTGACTTAAAATTTTCCAAAATTTCCGGATTTATTCCTACATTGACACTATCGGCGATTTTGGAATACTTTTTAAGAATGATTGGCAATGTTTTAGATAATTCAAAAAGATATAGGTTGTCTCCTTTTTCTTGCATCAGTCCTTTATTTTTATCAAATTTAAAGTGAGAACCCAATTTTATTTCTTTTGGTTCGACTAAAAGAGATTTTTGTTTTAAAATTTTCTCCAATTCATATTGTGAGGAAGAACTATTTGGAAAAGGGTCCCTTAACGTATTTAAATTAACTAAAATTTGAGCTGAATTAGAACTAGTTTTTGAAAAATCTTTTGCAACTTCAATGATGCTGTTGACTAAAGAATTTGCATTAGATAAAATTTCATTTGATTTAAGTAATGAAATTCCACCAGACATTTGCAAAGATTTTATAAAAGCTAATTTATAATCTAAATTAATTTCATAGATGACATTTGGGGGAAAAAATTCTTCACTACTGCACTTATCATTATGTTTAGTATTATTTTCTAGAGTGTCAGAATTATTAAAATATCCTGAAACATTTCTATGTACTGAGCAAACATTTCTGTGAATATGTTTTTGAAGATTGTCTAATTCAGTAAAAATCATTGAACACAACGGACAATTTAATCTAACTTTTCCTTTTCTAATCTCATGGAATTCCTTAATATGCTGCCAATACTCTTTGAACGAACTAAACTTAAATGCACAAATACTACAATTAAAATTAAGGGTAATCTGCTCAAAGTTTGACCCTGACCTACTAACCTCTCTAGCAGCAGTTATTATTTTTAATCTGTGACCGACTGATGGAATAATTTCGGCAAACAAACGTTCCTCCGTTGATCCAGCGGCACCGTCCAATAATTTAAAGAATAATAGATCGTCAACGTCGTTCTCTATTGAAAAATAATTAATTACACAAAAAATAATTAGTTATAAAAAAAATTATGTATATGTAGTTTAATTATAAACATACAAATCTATGAATTAATCAAAAGAATTTACAATTTACCTTTCAATTTATCCGTATATTGTTCCAGGCCAGTATCTCGAAGAATTTGCTCCATTATTGGACACGTCGAAAAACTTTCAAAAAAAGAAATAATTTATTTTCGTTGTTTCTCCTTTTGCTGGTAGACAGCAACTGTGGCATTTGAGCCACGCGGAAGATGGAGACGTACAGTGGGGAGAGTTGACTTTGTGCACCTGAAGTGTGACTATTACACCAAAAAGTTGACTAAAATTTAACTCCGCCGATAGAGCAAAGTTTACACCATTTATTGACAATGTTTAATCTAGTTTGGTCTGGTTTCTACCCAGAATTGATTAAACTCTATTTTACTCAACCTGAAGTCAAATTTTATCCAATATTGAGTAAACTGAAAATTAATCAACTCAACCGTGTAAAAATTGCACTCTCGAAGTTTTGCTTTAATTCGAAATTGTGGAAAATTTGATCAACATAGTTTTACTCAACCGGTTGAGCTCAATCTTCTTTAGAGTGTGTGAAAATAATTTCATGACCAATAAAAGTACGTCCATTTTATATGCGAACTTCCATTGGAAATATTTTACACCCGAACCACCACATCAACTGACAAAGAAACCTTTTAGCGTGCCTATCGATTCCAGGGTTCCACCCTATGCCTAAGTGTGAAAATATGACTCTGAAGGTACCTCAAGGTCAATTTTCATATATTATAGTAGAAACTTGAAATTTTGTTTGGGGATTACTAATGAAACGTTTTTATTCTTGCTTTAAAATCGATAAAATTTCAACTTTTTCTAATCTCAGAGTCACAATGAATTGCAGTGACGTGATTGAATTTGAAACTTATTTTCCAATAACATTTTTAGAGATTCGAGTTTTCATTGTTGGAATAAATAATATCTTTCTCGTGCCAAAATTATAGCACGATTCTTACTTATTTCGACTTGGACGATATCATTGCAAATTTTTGCCGAAATTATCCCATCATTCATACTGAAGTTTCATAAGCCATCAATTTAACAAGGGCAAGAGTCTGATTGCTTAGTTTAAGTTACAAGTGGGACATATGACATGCAAAATTAAAATATTCGAGATAATGGATGTCACTTTATCTCTTGTGAGACAGATGTGTTATATTTATCTTTTATCTCGGTAATGATGGAGCAATTTGGGAGATATATCAATAATTATTAATACGTACATTGGAATCATTAGAATTTGCAATCAATTATGATAATGCATTTATACATGAGTGGATATTATGTGGGGCTAATAATTATGAAGAGAAATGACGGAAACTAAAATTTGTAGGTGGGGATGAATATGAAATTATATATTTTGTAATTGGTGGCAGTTGGTAAATTTTTATACCAGGATCGGAACTGGTGTCACGGACGCCAAAAAATCACTTATTTCCAAATATTTACCGTTTACGCTAAATTTTAGCGTTGAATTGTCGTTACACAATAATTTTATATCAGGCCAGAAATATTTGAGGTGATGCAATAAATTGCAATCTTTACGTATCACTCCAACATGTGGACATGACAATAATGATCGCTGATTGATTGTGCAATTTGTGTAATAGCCACTCGATAATACGACGTAATTTGGGTCGTGCGACGTTGGTAAGAGAGATAAGCGATTCAAATTCCTCTGATAAACCAGGCTGTTCTATGGTGCCCGTGGCACCAGGGTCAATATGACGGGCCATTACTTCTGTGTAAAAATTTAGCCACTACTACAAAAATAGAATTTCATATTTCCCCGTAAGCGCTATCCTTGCTAGTATTGCATACACAGGCCACATATACGCTGTATTACATGATAGTGACGTATTATGTGAATGGCCCCACTTTGGTATCCCTACAATGATGATAAATACAACATTGGATGCATCCGTTCCCAACAGACAAAGAGACAGACAGAATTCGGTAAATGTATAAGTTAATTATTTATATAGATTATTTAGCAGTCGTCCCCACCATATCGTTGTCCTGGCGGTACGGGATGGTTATGGGATTTAGTGAGAAGGCAGAGCTGAGGTGGAGAGGTAGCCATTTTGAGATCAATTCACAATTCGATTTATGACAGGATCTCGTAAAATACTTTTTTTTGGTAACTTCAGCCAGAATGAGTGTATTCAGTTGCGGTGCGTTAGACTATATTTGGATATCCGCTAATTTTTGACAAAACTAATAAAAAAATGAAGCGCTATAACGATTTAATTATAAATTTTTGAATTTGTCAAAAATATGCGGCTATCCGGTTAAAATTGCTGGTCACACGCGCCCCACCTGATTACACTCAACCCGGCAAAAATTTTGTTTAATTGTTAAACCTGAAGTTAAAATTTCGAAAATTTCACCCGGCCATCATAAAACGTAGTTTGCGTCATATGACGTTGGTAAAGAGATAAGCGATTCAAATACCTCTGATAACCAGAATAGATTATTTACACAGATTATTTCGCAATCGTCACCACGCCATCGTTGTGATGGCGATACACAGAGTAAAAACCCAAAAAAAGCGTCTAAAATCGAATAAGCTCTAAAAATGACCTATTAGGTCGGGATATCAATTTAAGTTGGTTTAGTTTGGTTTCCGGTGGTGGGTGTGGTCAGGGGGGGGGGCGTTTTTATCGAATTTTAAAAAAGTCTCAAATTCCCCCAAAAAACCACACCCCCTTGTAGATAATTTATCACTGATTAAAATGATATATTATACTTGTATGATATCTCTTATCATTCTCTAGATAAATAAAACATAATTTAAAAATAAGGTATCTTAGGTGAGATGTGCGCTTAAAATAAAGAAAACAAGGCTATGCACCACCTTAAACTGAATTTTCACCAGGTATACATTCAGCACTGCCTATCTCACCGTGGGCATTTCTAGAATCTGACGAGCTGTGCTTCTCAGCTTGTTTAGAAGATAAGAAAAATATTTTTGGTCAAACTATTTGAACGTCTAAATTTCCCAACCTGACATTATTAATATTTAACTAAAATACGTAAGAATAAGATTGAGATATTTGCGACCACTGGTCAACTTTATTAATATATTTAGTTAGGTGTAATGAGAAATGATTATGTAAATAACCCCAATGTGATCTAATGTAAATAGCAAAGTTTTAATTTTAAATATCTTCTTTACACGAAGGTAAACACCGATGGAGAAGAAATGAATCTTTCTGTCGTCAACGGGGTATTAACAACTGATTAAATACATAATTTATTTTTAATATTCAAATTTTTTATACGGTAAATGCCCGCGGTGAGATACGCAGTGCTGAATGTATACCTGGTGAAAATTCATTTTAAGGTTGTGCATAACCTTGTTTTCTTTATTTTTAGCGCACATCTCACCTAAGATACCTTATTTTTAAATTATGTTTTATTTTCTAGTTTTTAGGAGGAATTTTTTTAGAGTGACCCATTAGAGGTTTACCAACAGACGACTCAGTGATGGTCACTTATAAAATTACAATTAAAAGTAAGTTTTTGGTGACTTTTGACTTATTCATACGTGGTTAAACATAAGTCAGGAGACTTTTTTCTTACCATAAAGGACATATCCTTATGTTTACCTTAGGTCTATAACTATTGTGATTTCTTACTCAATTATATGTCACATTATAATAACGACTTAAGTGACTACCACTTACAAGTCGACGTTTGTAAATCCCTATTGTAATTGATAGAATGATCGAAGAATATTAGAGAGTAAATAGTGAATATCTCTTACATTTCATTTCAGAATCTAACATTTAATATAGATGAGACATATTTGCATAAATCTTGAGATTAATAATTAAAACCGGATGACATACAAGTTATGATGCAATTTTTTCCAATGGCAACCTGACCTACAGAATACCATACAATTGTAATAGTGGATTAAACGTACGAATTAGCGTGTCAGTAAAACTTTCTAAATTCTTAACCGATCTTCATAGTTTAAGTGCCAAATGAAGCAGGATAGAATAATGCATAATATTGTCAGGTTTAATTGATACATTTGTTTGACGATTCTGCTTACAATCGGCATTTGAAAACTTAAAGTTAATTTTAAGTGCATAAGGCAAACAATATTTAGTCGTATCACCTGAAACACCAATTCTAAGATGTAGGTGAATTTCCTACAACTTTTGTCTTCACACCAAAATGATACAATTAAACGTTCGAGAGTTATCTCGGTGCTCATTTTTGAACATGGGGTGGGAAAGCATACTTAGGCTTCGCCGTAACCATGATGATTTTTTAAAAATCACACATGATTACTTTATCTCACCTAAGAAAAATAAAATGTAACTCAAGAATGGATTTTTTTGCCAAAATCGTCCGGAAAGTGCTTTTTTCTTAGGTGAGGCAAAGGCGGAAAGCTGGGCCCCGTCTCACAAAGCAAATGTAATATGCGCAAGTAGGGCCCGGCGAAGCCTAAGTATGCATTCCGACCCACCTCTGAAAAAGTCGCACAAAGATAACGCCTTAACGATGCATCGAATCGAAAAACGTCAAGAGGCAAAATAGTTAGAGAATTCGCTAACTTAATTTCTTTCGATTTCAAATTTTGAAATTTGCATGTATTTCCATTAAAAAACGATTTTGGAAGTTTTCAAACGGCTGATGTCTGATGAAAATTTAAGCTTTCTTATTACCATAATTGTACAAATTATTCTGCAAGGTAAGCTCTATTTTTCATGTATTACATGTGTTGACCTTAAAAATTTATTGAATTGGTGATCCACCAATTAAGAATTTTATTTTGTTGTGAGTACAAGTCTTCTTAATAAATATGGGAAATTGACTGAATCTCAAGGAGATGCTGGAGTGGTCTAAGTGCAGACTCTTGGTTTTTTGCCAAGATGCCCCGAGTTCGAATCCCGTTGGATAATAACTTTTTGCATATTTTTTTTAACTTATACATCATTCTGATTGTGTGTATAAACTTTTTGTAGGCTAATTAAGTTGTCACAACACCCCTTAATATAGTGGGTGTGGTTAGCAGTCAGAAAATATGTAATGACTTTTTGCTAAATATTTAAGCATATTTATTATCTGGGCGCCAAAAATATGCATACATTTACAAATTTTGTATGACAATGTGGCGCACTATGCGACAATATTCAGGCTTACTAAATATACCGTGTGTTGTTATATAAGCCGATCAGGTACCGTAGGGTTTCATCCTCAAATTAACCCAATTCGCAAAATTAACCAGTACGTGACTACGTTACCAAACGATTTTTTTAATCGTTACAAATATGACCATAATTTGCACTCAAAAAAATCTAGTTGAATTTAAGCATTTTTAAAACAGGAAAAATTGATTTTTAGCCTCTTCACAATTCTCCTTTTGCTGAAATTTAGTTTTGATAGTGTCGAATCTTCTTACCGTTTTTAAAATACGTAAATTAATTAGGTCACATATTTCGACAAGTTACAAAATTGCCCTGGAAAAACAAGATGTGTGATCATGTGATCAAAATCGGATAAATCGGGAGTGAGTACGATCACGGATTAATTTGAGGAATCCTGGGAATGAGGATTAACTAATCGGTATAGATTCAATATAGGATTAAATATCATGTGGCCATCAGTGGTTTGGATTAAACCACGTCGAGATTCAATTAATCCGGATTCCGTAACATTAATCCCAGACTATCTCGAATTACATTTTAATTTTGTAAGATGTAACAGTTACTAAAAGTAATTACTGTGCAATTTGACCTTAAGACAATAAGTTGTCTATATTAGTAGTAAGTAAATAAAAATGGCATAGGATACCTTATGCAGAGCATCTCTAACACTCTTTACATGTATGGTGTGCCATAAAATAAATTAGATCGGAATAAAAACTAGGAAATAAAATTCTTTTACAAAAAAGGACTCTTAGGTTCGGAGTTGCAGTAAAAAGTAAAAAACAAGTTTATAATGGATAATAACTTTACCTTAATATTAACCGAAATTAGCGATTCCAGCACTATTTGCTGAACCGCGGGCCAATCTTGTCAGACGCTAAATTTAATTACATTTTTAATTTTTGTATATGATGCTAAGTTAACAACTAGCTTATCATAAAGGTTCAAAAGTTTGTATAAATTCACTTCATATCATTTTGTAATTTTCCTAACTAGTTAGAGCTTAAAAAATTATACTGCATGGCATATGGTCAACCATAATCACCAAAAATAATTGTAAAGGTAATCAAGCCAAGTTATGGAATAAATTTTTGAATATTACAGTGTACGAAAACTCCTCAAACAAACTGGCTAAAGTTTCGTCGGTGTTACATAACTTGGCCCGCGGTTCAGCAAATAGTGCTGGAATCGCTAATTTCGGTTAATATTAAGGTAAAGTTATTATCCATTATAAACTTGTTTTTTACTTTTTACTGCAACTCCGAACCTAAGAGTCCTTTTTTGTAAAAGAATTTTATGAAGGGCTGCAGATCCCTTAAATCGAAAAACGCGGTAGAACCAAAATATACATGATAAAGTACTATATGAAAACTAACTAATGGAACGAAATTTGATCGATTCTGAGGTGATAGTTTTGAGAAAATGGAGGTCAAATTTGGCTCCATGCAAGGTTTCAAAAAATTCGTCCAGAAAGTGATTTTTGAAGGGCTGCAGATCTTTTAATTAAACTACCAGGGCCGAGCAGGTGTATACATTTTAAAACACAATCAAAATTCTTACCAGCAGTGTCATTGGATTTTGTCTACTTTTTTATTTAAGTGATCTGCAGCCCTTCAAAAATCACTTGCTGGACGGATTTTTTGAAACCTTGCATGGGGCCAATTTTGACCTCGATTTTCTCAAAACTATCACCTCAGAATCGATCAAATTTCGTTGCATTAGTTAGTTTTCATATAGTACTTTATCATGTATATTTTGGTTCTACCGCGTTTTTCGATTTAAGGGATCTGCAGCCCTTCAAAAAGCACTTTCCGAACGATTTTGGCAAAAAATCCATTCTTGAGTTACATTTTATTTTTTATCTAGAGAATGATAAGAGATATCATACAAGTATAATATATCATTTTAGTCAGTGATAAATTATCTACAAGGGGGTGTGGTTTTTTGGGGGAATTTGAGACTTTTTGAAAATTCGATAAAAACGCCCCCCCTGACCACACCCACCACCGGAAACCAAAATCAACCAACTTAAATTGATATCCCGACCTAGTAGCTTATTCGATTTTAGACGCTTTTTTTGGGTTATTTTACTCTGTGCGATACTGCCTGGTTAAGAGATTTAATGGGCAGATTTTACGTGGAGTCGTAGCCATTTTGGATCACTTCACATTCCGATTTTGGATAGGAGTAAAATATTTTTTGACAACAATTTTGTACAATTCGTAGAAATGCAGTAAAAATTGACAAAATTCGAAATTATGATTGGCAATTAAAACTAGGAATGGGTGAATGTTTGGAGAAGTTGGAATCGTCTTAATTGGAAAAGCAAACATTTATTCTGGTAGGTTCGGTGAGGTTCTTACATAAGTGGATGACGTAATTCATTTTCTGATAACCATTCCAGATACCAGAGAAATGTAAAAAATATATCCATATTTATTGTGTACGATCTGCTATGTAAAGAAATACACGTTTATTGCAGTTGGTAGTTAAATAACTGAAAATGGCGACATCTTTAAGACACAACGCTTGCACAAACCTCAGGGATCTAGTCTACGAGAGCTGCATTGGTCATGGCTCATTCGGACCTGTCCTTAAAGCTATCGATCCATCGAAAAAGAATTTTGTAAGTGCTGCAAAGTTTATTTTCCTACCAGCAAGCTGTGCGGAAGATGACCGTAAATTTGATGGAACTGTAAGAGGAGAAATTAAAAGGCTGTTCTGCCTACGACGTCACCGAAACGTGGTTCAGGTCCTACAGGTGCATGCAGATAGATTTGGATTATCAGTTTTGGATAGAATACTCCCAGACTCAATTTTGCATCAAGAGCAGATTATAAAAGACAAATATACTTCGATGATAAGGTGTGAGACGGAACAACAAATACGCGTGATTTTTATTCAGATGGAACTTTGCGGAGAAAACTTAAGATCCTGGTTAAATGAAGAACATGACATTCGCAACCAAGATGTCCAGCACACTCAACTTGTGATTATACAAAATCTGGTATCCGGTTTAAAACACTTGCATGAGAATAAAATTCTACACCGAGACCTTAAGCCGGAAAATGTGATGTTTTCCAAGCAAGGCTTCATCCTCCCGGTTAGAATTGGAGACTATGGCCCGACTAGGATCCTAAAATCTATGAATTGGAAGACAGGTTTGTAAACTATGAATTGGCCATTTATGAAGCACAGCATATAATTATATATTTGCAATTCATTTAAGAATTGACATATCTGTAACCAATTAATTTAACAATCAATTACCACGACATTTGGGAAGCCACGAAACTGTAGGATATTAATTTTTATAACCTTTCCGCTAACAGGTCGTCATACAAGTCGAGTTGGCACGTCAGAACATATGGCGCCAGAGTCTAATATCAAGCCGGCCCAATGCCATGATCTATATTCTCTGGGATTGGTCATCTGGGAAGTTGCTCAATTAATCAGATTCAATGAGAGGACCGATATGTTTTCTGGGTTGGTAAACGGAAAGAAGGAGACTTTAGTCAGGGAACATCCTACCATTGAAGGAGCGCGACCTCTTATCATAGCCCTGACAAAAAAAGAAGTTACCGAAAGATTACAAAATATTCGACATGTTTTTAGTATCACGTACAGCTGGAAATTTGCCCATTTTTCAAAGTGCATTACAGATTTTGAACTAGAGACATGGCAGGGAGACGCACTACTTGCATCGGGATTTCACCGGCTGCTGAACGTAGCAAGGAAGTACGTCGTCAAAAACGCTTGGGAGTTAAGAGATTGCTTGAAAAATGTCACTACTGATTGCACCATCACATTGAAAACGGGCGAGTACCAAGGGGACTTTACATTAAGGGGTGACAATATCACAATCACTGGAGAAGAAGATGAGGCAGGAGATTGTCCATGTATAGCATTTAAGGGTCGACTGCTAGTTATTGGTAGCGATAATAATATTTGCATGTTAGACGGAAATCAAATATCTGATATATCGATAGATGGCGATCGGAACCATATTAACTATGTGCGCATTTTGAACAATAATGCAAATTTCCGAATGTATATAAAGGGCAACACAAACGTTATAGAAAATATTGAAGTTGAAAGTTGTAATAATTTCTTATTGGAAATTGAAGGGTATCAGAATATTTTTGATGGATTCTTCATTGATTCAGGTGTACTAGCTAGTATAATAATGTTTAAAAAGTCAGAAAAAAATATATTATCAAACATTAACATCCTAGATTCAGGGTATTCAATTGTTTGTCAGGGCCAAAATAATAGATTTTTGAACGTAACTGTTGAACTCGACACAATTAAGCCAGCCTCATTTATTCTAAGTTCGCCATACAATATAATTGATAATTTTAACTGCTTACCTAAGGAACGAGGAAAAATTGAAGTGGGGTCCGATAATTCGAGTGTGTTGCATTCCTCGTGCGAGAATATTATGGTGAATGGAAAAAATGTAAATTTGACAGATGTAGATGCGAATGCGTTACAGTTAGGAAAGATGCTTCAAACGTCAGTCTATTCAGAAGTAGAGCTGGACTGCTGAAAATGCATTCAAACGCAGGGTACGACGACCAATGCAGTTTTTCTCGCGTCTATAATACACCGAATCCTGAGATATATACTACGCCTTCGTCCAGTCTGGGCGCTGGTGAGGAATAGATAACAAATTTTAATATTTTAATAAAAAAACTTGCAACCTTAATTCCTTTATGTTACACTAGATACGTTGAAGCCTGGTAAGCCAGATACGGAGAAGTTAGAGTCTGCTATGTCGCGCGCCCATTTAGAAGGAAAGTATGAAAAAAAGATAGAGGAGGTAATTAAAAGACATTTTCATTTAGAGCATACATCGAATCTTGAGCATTCATGAGAAAAATGTAGATAAATATGGTCGTCATACACTGACACTTTTCTTATTTTTGCAGATTGCACCCGCTTCAGGAGCAATGACGAACCAAATTTATCCTATGCTAACAGTTAGGAAACCACTGAAGGCGGACGATGATGCATCTTCCAAGACACGAATATTGCAAAAGGACAAATTTGCTGCAAAAAATTTACCATCTCTTCCACTTGAAGATAAAATGCACGTCACAGATGAGGAGGACTCCAAGCTCTGCTCGATTTGCATGGAGGATCGGATAAATATGGCGTTCCAGTGTGGGCATACCTGCTGTGCGAAATGTTCCGGGGGATTGAAAAATTGTCATTTTTGCAGGGAAGTGATTACGCATAGGATAAAAATCTTTATATAGGATAAATTCCTTCCTTAAATTAGATCCAACTTATTCGCTTAATTATGTGCGATATATCTACACACAATTTTACATTATATGTAGATAATATATTGATACTAGGCGATTTAATGGTGCCCGTGGCACCCCGTTAATTTCTACTATGAAATTTCATCGTATAAATCAAAGACGTTAAATCAAACCCATCAAATTGTGCGTCAATAACAAAAACTGAAGTTTAACACTAAAACCGTCAAGAGTAAGATACACTTACATATCTTTATACATTAGAACCAAGAACTAACAGACAATGAATCACTTAAAGATTTCTCTGAATACAACATTTCTGGTAAACTGACGATTATCACGAATCAGATTTCCTTGTTGTGCATTTCTATGAATAAAAACTTTCACTTGATTGTGATTCCTACTTCTTGATAGGGCAACCTGTCCATGTGAGTGCGGTCAATCTCGGCCTACGATCTGGCGAGTGTTTAGCAGTTTAGCAGACACAGGCGACATGTTTTGAAGGCGGCCCTGACACGCGGACGCAGACGCGGACCCATATGGTCCGCGTCTGCGTCCGCCTCATAGGGCAGCCTCAATTGTCTAGCGAGTGTGTAGCAAACACAAGCCACATGTTTTGAAGGCAGCCCTGACACGCGGATGCAGACGCGGACCATATGGGTCCGCGTCTGCGTTCGCCTCATAGGGCAGCCTCAATTGTCTAGCGAGTGTGTAGAAAACACAGGCCACATGTTTTGAAGGCGGCCCTGACACGCGGATGCAGACGCGGACCATATGGGTCCGCGTCTGCGTCCGCCTCATAGGGCAGCCTCAATTGTCTAGCGAGTGTGTAGCAAACACAGGCCACATGTTTTGAAGGCGGCCCTGACACGCCTCATAGGGCAGCCACAGCCTAGCGAGTCGTGCATACACCAGCCAGATATGGGGGACGTAGTATATGAGTATCCCATTTTGCTATCCCAGCAATGTAAAATAGAACATGGCAGGGATTAGCGTTCCGGACAGACCAAGCTGGGTAAATATATAAGTTAATAGTTATATATAGTAATTATATAAATGATTTAAGATAAGATAGAGGATGATAATTGTATGCTGTAGCCGGCCAGGTGACGATATAATTAGTATGTATGTATGTAAAAAAAGCGTGTTATTATACATAACATTTATGACATTAACTATATTTTAAAAACCACAATTTTGAAAATTTCCGAGAGGCAAAATCATAATTTCTGAGCTAATATATTGCACGAAAATTTAGATTTAGATGCCGCGGAACATATGTTAGTCTGGGGATAATTCGCTCTAGAAATTTCGTAACCTACAATTAAGGCTGTGACTCCCCCTCATCAGCCCCCTCTGTAAATACCTGTAAATTCTAAAATGCAAAAAATAATAATTAGTCGAATTGTTAGAATCACTACCCTAGCAGCACAAACCCGTGAAATACCCGTGAAAAACACGAATCATCCACCCCGAGATCTCGTGATTAACACGTGTAGAATTGGTGTAAAAGCCGGTTTATTTTGGGGGTCTTTGTCGCCGTTTTGGTGGGTTAAACTGGGGGTATAAATCGTGTTATACACGTGTCGCAGGCAAAGAAAACTCGTGTATAACTCGTGTTAATCACGTTTAAATCTCGTGTATAAATTCCATAAACACGTGTTTTATGCGAAATAAATGCCCCCAAAATTACCCAATTTCACTCGTACAAAGGTGGACTACATTTAATTTTATTGGTTAAATAAAAAACCACATTACAATCTCAAAAATTTCAAGTAAAATTAACCCTCCTCGTTGGTAAACTCGGCTCCACCGTCAGCAACATCTCTATATTGCAAAAATCATATGTAATTATGCCAACCATTAAATTAAATATAATAAGGTTGAATTTACCTGTCAACAGAATTTTTCAGTTTTTTTGCAGTCGATTTGAGATACTCCTTTATTACCGTTTCTATCTCGTCATCTGACACCGACTTTGGTCTCAAACTCTGCCGAACTGAATCTAAAAAATAATATGTTAATTAAAGTAGAATTTTAAAGGATTTAAACACAAAGTTACTTACCACAAACTACTTGTTTCATCCATGCATCGCGAAAAGCAAATTTTATCCCCCTTGAGCCAATCCAATTGTAAGATATGATCAACTGATCCTCGCAAAGGTTGGATAAAACACGACGTGTGCACTTTGAAACTTTTGTCCCCCCACCCCGGCTTAATAGGGTCACCTAAGAAAGTATTCAACCACAATTAACATAAACAATTAAGAAAAGCTGCGAGAAAGACTAGATTTATTTACCAGCGACTCTCGGTTAACTGAAACCTCATAGAAACTGGCACCATTCCTCACGTCTTCTATATTCTTTAATGGAATTTGATGACGAATTGCTTCTTCTGGTTTGTTCTTTGCATCCAGATTAAGTAATATGGCGTCCAATGTGTCCTGGATATTTCGGGTTTGAACTTTCAAAGTGGCAATGTTTCTCACCACCCAACTTTGAAATTGATTTCCTGCAAAATAAGATATCATGTTTAGTATATTAACTTTTCAAATTATATTATATTATTGATTTACCAGACACTAAACCTTCATCCTCCAAGGAATGATTTCGCATCGTCGCAGGAATTGTAACCTTGGTTAACTCGCTTGTTGCGTCTAAATCGACATGGTCGCTATTTGTTGAACTTCCGGCAACTGCAATCACCCTGTCCGGATCCGGGTTCCCAACTATGATATCCTCGTTTTTGCTGCCGCTCGACACGCTGCTCTTTTGGTTCACTGAAACAGAGCATCGGATATATTATACACATATTTCAAGTAGCACAAAAATAAATATTAGCCAGTGATTGATTATTTAAAAAAAACTACCTAAACACAACTTAAACGGCATATTTAAACTGCTGAAGGCAGCTTTAGTTTTCTTGTCCGTTGTTTTTCGACTTGGTCGCTCTTTTGTTGACTCGATCATTGGGACGAGCGAGTTCACAGTTTTTTCTAATAAAAAAGTTAAGAATTTGTTAGAAAATTATTGTACTGGATAATTAATCGACCTGTAATTACCACTATTGATTATCATCCTTGGTGGTGGTGGCATAATATTTGACTTGAATAATTCCCCTACGTCGCTGTCAGAACTGTCGCTAAGTTTTCCCTTCTCCCGTCGTATCCTTGATTTTCCATCCCCATTTCCGATATCTGCATCAGACTGGTCCATCACATTGGGGAGCTTTTTGACCGCCTCGTGGTATGTACCTGTACACAAATTTAAGAAATTATTTAATTAGTAACTAACATGCAACCAAACACCTCGTATTCATGAATTTGTCTCTTTACCAAATTTGTGTCCACCTCCAAGAACTTTGACTTCGTGAAGTGACCAGTTTGCCTCGGCAGCCATGTGAAGACCGACAGATTTTACAATTCGATTTGGATTTTTATAGTTCGGCCACACACATTTAGTATCATCTTGACGTAACCATGCAGTTGTAACAACTTCAATTTCATTCGTCTCCTCAAATTTAACTAAGACAAAACTGTCGTCGCTCATGATTGATCAGAAAGATGAATGAGGGGCGCTGCAAAATATGCAGTTCCACACGGCAACAAAATTACTTTTTTCACTATTTCACTACAATTTAAGCATTTGAGGGGTCCCAATCTTGATACTAAATGGATATTAACAATAGATGAGTCACAGGGATTACTGTAAAAGTTGACTTTATTTTGAAATGCTCGTCCAAGAAATAAATCGTTCCCGTCCTTCTTCAGAAATGTTTCAACGACCAAAGTAGTGCCGTCTCTTATCTCACAAGCTCGATCGCTACACTTAACACTTAAATTAAACAACTTATGTTGGAACTTTTTATAAAATAAAGAACCTCTAATGAGATGGGCAGGAGGATTTTGATAAGACCAAAGAGAGCGAAGGCATGGCACGGGCGGTGTGGAGGTGGCTGGATTGGAGACTTGGGTTTCCCTCTCTGACAGTCTTCTATGGGCTTGCTGTAAGGGGTTATTTGTGGATCGAACCAACTTTTTAATTTCTTGAAGCTTATTCTCAAACTTGAATGAACTAAATTTGTCAAGTTGACCATGATTAATGCAATCTTTTGCCAGATGTAAAAGTCCGTGCACATTAAATGACATGTTTTTCTGGCCATAAAGAATACCAAAATACTGAACAAAATAATGAAGCAACTCGTTTGCGTAATGATTATGAGTGACGTGAAGTGTGTGGTCCGCTAAAATAGATATTGCAACATGGAGAGTCATGAAATGCTGGTATAGATCGTTGGAAATTATGTTTTTCAAAACTACTGGACCAGTATATAAAATGAATTGACGAAACTCAGTGGCTTTCCAATGGTCCAGGTCTTTAAGTTTGCGTGGTTTTCGAGCAAATTCTTCCGGAATATACTTCTTAATTTTTTTTAACTCTTTTGAAATTTGATCAACTTGATGAGGACGCAATCGTGCAGGACACTTCTTACCCTTCGCCAATAAATATATAATCTTGCGTACAATGCCAAGACACACTAAATGCATATATTCTCCTGGTGAGTCGTTTACTAAATCCAACTCTGTTTTCTCGATATCAGTAGAATCGTTGTGATGATTTGGGTCATGTTTTTGGCGAAATGATTCGTTTGTTCTCTCGGGGTGAATCCCATATGGAAATATTACACGGTTTTTGAAATACATACCTTTTATAGTGCAACTTCCGCATGAACTGTATCCAGAATGACACTTTGTTCCAAGCACAAATGCACGTGCTGGAGCATCGCAAATTAGCGCACTCAATTTAATTATATATTCAACACCGTTAATTAGAAGTTGGTGTGGACCCTCCCTTAGCTCCTGAATAAATGGTGACAAGAACTCGTTCACTGAATTTGGTTTCCCTTCGCCAGAGTAAATGCCAATCACAAAAACATTGTCATCTATTGCGCCTAAAATTGGCCAGAACTGGCAGGACGACCTGTTATACAATGGTATACCGTCGACATTTATTTGAACTTTCACTATTGTACTTCTGAGATTAATTTGTGAAATTATTTTGCGCATAGATGTATTCCATTGAAATCGACAGTACTGTCCCGGGGGTACATTAATAAGTGTCGTCGATCTAGGTGTTTGAAGGAAAGTCCGGCTATCCAAGGGCAGATTTTAAAGCAATGATGACTGTGAAGGAGCTTTAAGAGATCACTAGATGCAGCGGCCGTTATGTTATGACTTATTGTCCAATTTCTTAGCGAGTCACTCAAGTCGGTAATTGATTCCCCCTCACTGTTGCCAAGTTCGTCACTTTCACTTAGCACTAAATTACTACTAGAATCGCTGTCACTTTCAAGTTCCAATGTATAACCTGCTACTGGAGGTAATGTATTTTCCACGGTCTGAGAATTATCAATTAGGTTTGACGATGTTGATGGGGGTATAGTTCGCACAATCAAATTAAAGTCAGCTACAGCACTATGAACCTCTCTCTGCGCTTGTCTATCTCGAGATTTTTTCATTTTGAGAAATATTTAATAATATTTAGAAAGAATTTTACAATTGCTCGAGAATAGTGTGGCCTGGTATTTGATCACATTTGGCGGTATCGGAGGAATTTGAGTCATAAGTAAACACCAGTTTACTACTAGTAAAACACGGGTATTTCTCGGGTGCGTCGGAACCAAAAATTCACGTGTTCTACATACGTGTTTTAAAGTAGAAGATACACGTGTTTTATCAGCTTAGAAGATTTTGGTATTTTGTACCCGAGAAAAATACGTGTATTTCAAAAAAATTACACGATTTTGACACCAACCCGAAAGTACCATGACTTTATTCCAATTAAACCCGTGTTATTCTCGGGTTGTGCTGCTAGGGTAGTTCCTACTATTTAATAAATAAACATAATATTAATTTTAAAATTGTATTAAGATTATTCATTCATAATTCATTCGTATTTACTCATTCAGAAAATTTGCTAATTAGCTTAGTTTAAAATAAAATATTTAAAAGGAATTGTCTGGGCATCATCCAAGATATAAACTATGTAATTAGCTTCCCGAATACTGAAAATAATTTTAGAATAAATAGCAAGGTAATTCCGTGGTAATTTAGAAAAGAGATGAAAGAGAGCGTTTTCGACCAATTTTGTAATACATTTAGGAGCATCTTGTGTCTTGTCAGTTCCACAACGGGCAGCGCCTTTCAAAAGCCATATAATGAAGACAAAAACAACTTTATTATTAAATTTTAACTAAAACTACATTAACTTAAACTTTTAACTTAAACTTTAAAATATAGGTTTGGACGGGTCAAATTTGTAAACTCTTTTAGCAGAGCGTTTCAAAGTAATGATGAATAATACTAATTAGAATTTTCGAAGAGCCTAGACTTATGTTATGTGGGATAATTGCACAATTGGTGCTTCTACGTGATGTTATTAAACATTAGTTTATATTGTTGGGAGACAGTGTATTCAGATCAGTATCTTTGGAACATACCTGTTCAAAAAAAATTTTGTTCACTCAATATTCATTCATTTCGAAATTGAAGTTCAGTTATTCATTCATTATTTATTTAATGAATGAATTTTTGGCTTCATTCGCAAATTTCTTCATTCGTCCCAAGCATAGGGCAAAAAATGAATGAAGAGCAAATCCATTCATTCATTTAAAAACAAGTAATCCTTCATTTATTCTTCATTCATTTTTTGAATTATTCATTTATTCATTGCTCATTTAGTACTTAATGAATGAATGTGAACAGGTATGCTTTGGAGGCGAATTTTCGTATCCTAAATACATTCCATAGACTAGAATTCAAGTCGCTCCGATATGAGTGGCAGAAACAGGGGGTACGCATCATACACGCCGAGTAGTGGCCCCGCGACCGCGGGAGCCCGCAATAATTTGATCAAGAAACCATATCAAACAATAAAGATATTTACCAATTTGGTAACAATAATTTGGGATGGTGGTGTTCACAGGGGTCCGACAAACGACCCGATTGCCATAACGACGGGTCATGACATGAATTCACCGCCAGATGCTATCGAGTCATCTTACCTGTTAGTTTACCAACATTCCCGCGATTACTAATGAAACCTGGTCAGTAAGGCTTATTCATGAAATTATTTACTATTCTACGTAGATCGTTTAGTAAAAAAAACATTTGCTGCACATATCCAACGTTGTTGTGTTGATATCTGCCGACGAAAAGTTCCAACCGGCATGGAGAGATTCGTTCCGGAAAAAAACACATTTAAAGTATGATCGTTAAAGAGTCGCACTCCAGCTTTTAAGGGGCATTCTGAGAAAACCATAAAGATTTTGAAAAATCTGATATCATTTTCTGAAAGAGTACTTCAAGGGCTTTAATTTGGTATATTGCACTTAATTTACAAAAATGGATAAGGGGTCAAAAGAATCGGTTGAAATGAAGCATCTGGAAAAACTGGTGATCGAGTTCTATAAAAATATAGCCAGCCGTGACTTTAAACTGACCTATAATTTTTTTAAACAAAAAAATATTTCAAAAGCAGATATGTATTCTAATGTAAAAATGTCCAAGGATTCCAAAAATGTAACTTTCAAAACTGTAACTCGCCGTCCTGCAAAGTTACAGACCACTAGAGTGGAGAAAAGTATTTCAAAAAAATTCAAACCGAACTCATCCACATCGAGGCACGTACATAGTTGTCGGCAAGGTCACTATTTCCAAAAGCTACATATGCAGGGTTAAAGTCCACAATATGGGGATTACACCGATAACAAAAAAATCATCACCAAATTATAAACAAGTCAGAGAAACCAGAATTAGAAACGGATGTCCGAAATTTTAATAGAAAATGTGCGGAAAAGTGCTCATCCCGGATAATTAGAAGTATGTTCCGGTTGACCCTTACACTGTTACAGGTTCTCACTTTTATCATAGTTTGAACCGTTCTGAAGTGCCTTGCGAAGAAAAAATACGAAAAAATACAAATTTCAGAAGAAATGATGCATTTTACAATGCATTTCTAGTTATGGCCATGTTTCAGACCCAGTAATTATCGAGTGGTATAGAAAGCAGGACATTGATTTTGAAAAGTGCACTAAGGCTGTAATGGAAGCATGGATGGATGAAATTCATAAAAACGACAAAATTTTGTTTCTGCCGGACCTTGCAATTTCTCTGTATGCAATAAAGGTGACCGATTACCTCAAAATCAAAAAATCGATTTTGTACCTAAAGATGTAAATCGACCTCGTGTCTCACAACTTCAACCGATTTGAAAATTTTGGGCATTATCCAAGTCAATATACTCCAACATATTCAAAAAGCTAAATACTCCTCAAAAATTCAATGGAAAATGGGAGAAAATCAGCCAGAAGGTCGGGAAAAAATGAGGAAAAAATCTGATGAAAAATCTCAGAAAGAAAATTGCATAAGTCGCTAATGGGGGCGTGGAATCGTTAGATGTTAAGTGAATTAGAAAGGTACGTAGTTGCTGGTATACATATGCAAAATGTTTCAAATTTGGTAAAATACTTGGTTTGGTACAGGCATCTCTATGAAGTAGTGCGACTCTTTAACGATCATACTTTATCATAAGCACAATTTCGATGTTGCTATAGATTATTATGCTATTATAGTTCTGGTTGACGGAGAATCTTATGAGTCCGCTAAGAGTAAGTCTATTTTTTAGACACAAAAATCAATCCGGTATTGGATTTCACAGACTAGTTACTTCACCAAGATATGTAACTTTATGTCGAATCTATGAGCACTTATATAAATTGTCTTCGATGTGGACCAGTTTATTTGGTTGTGTGAAAATAAACGTGGTGTTTCATTGAATGGTGGGCAATGCTTGAAAAATATGGTGATTTTCTTCCCTAAATATTACAGCGTAGTGTGTAAATATTTGTTAAGCGAAACGAAATTAAGTTGTCTCGTGCTATTTTTTTGGAAGAGTTTCACAGATATCCTCGGCGAAGTTCAATGAAATATGATTAAATTCATTTTATTTATTATTAACCTTTACACCGTCTTATATATGTACAGGCAGTGTGTGCACATAAATTCATAATTGATTACCAGCTTAGTGGAATGTGTTAATATGTATAGATGGAAATAAAATATATTAAGCAGATTAAAAGAGAAATCTGAAGGAATGGTAGAAATTAATATTTTTATAAAATATTTGCAATTTCAGTTAATGCTTCTTGAAATTTGATATGGCGATATAGCTTAGCAACTTTAAATGGAGTTAGGCCAGGTTCCAGGTGCTCGTTGCTTAAGTGCTCTCGTCTCACCAGTTGTTTGACAGACTCTAGAAATTCCATAGCTCCAATTTGTGCCGCGAAATGTAGGGTAGAAGCCGATTCGTCTGTACTGAAAGTGAGTTTTGCCCCATCCGCATCTAATAGCTTGGCAATAGCCCCTTGGTCTCGAATAGCTGCAAGATGCAGTGGAGTGATGCCGTTCTCTTTCAAGTCTTTAATGACGATATGATCGGAGAGTTTGGCTTTTTCAATTATCTTTCCTACAACTTTATGATGTCCACCGTAAATTGCAAGCATGAAGGGCGACCATTTGTTTCCATGCAGATTAAATAACGGCTTAATATCCACATCACGTCTTCCCAGAAGGTACCAAGCAATATCGGAACAGGGACCCATGTCAGTTATCAAAGTAGTGCAGAGCGGGGTTCCCATCCCAACTGGACCGACTGCATTTATGTCGGCGCCATATTTAAGTAAAAGCTGCACAACCTTCACGGCATCGTCCCCTTCCCGGATGCATGCCTGGTGGAGTGGGGTCCCCATTTCAGAATTTAAATTTACAAATTGCTTGTTACATTTGCACGATCGATCCCTTTTGTACTTTTGGCATGAACATGGCACTCTATTTATTAAATATTCTACAGCCTCGACGGGAGCTCTTCGGGCAGCCCGGTGTAAAGGGGTCGATCCAAATTCATCCTGGAGTGTGCTATCTGCATTATTGGCACACAGAGTTTTAATAAGTTGCCAGTTTCCACGGTCTGCGGCATAATGTAGAGGTGTCGCTTTACTATGGTCTCTCGTGTTGAGTATGATGCCCTTCATAAGCAACTTTATCTTTTTTAGTAAATTCTTGTTGTCCCCACGATTGCTGCAATATTTTTGCATCTGCTTTTTTAATGCAGTAAACTTGTCGTCGGTTTTCCACAGGTCTGGCAAAGTTACTTCAACCTCCGCAACATCGTATCGTTCCTTCAGCGCAATCAGTCCTTGACTAACGGCTTCATCGAAGCCCGCAAATACTGCAACTTCAGCTTGAGCATTATTGTCCCTGAAATTTGGGGACAAAGGCCGAAAAAAACTGTCAAAAAAACTAGCTTTGCAATATCTTGCAGCAGTGTGGAGAGGAAAGTTTGCCGTTGCGTTATGCACGTTATTAAACATGATACTAAATCCACGCTCTGGTCTCGCAAGAAAGTTGTATATTTGCATACACATCATCCGGGAAACGTCCTCCTTATTGCATTCCATGATAAAGTCCATGTAAATTGGAAATGTGATATTGCACACTGAGCATGGTGGGTTAATGGGGAGAGTGGGATCTTCAGCTTTACATTTTCGAAGGTTGTCAACCGTCACGCTAAATATTTCATATTCACCCTCACCGAGAATAAGAGCTGGGTTTTCCCACAACATTTCAAATATATGGTCTTCTGAGCAGTGTGCCAATTCTTTTAGAAAGAGTGCGTTGCCGCCTTCCGAAAACCATTTCCACAACTTAAAAAGGTGCGGCAGGTAATATCGGTCAGACAAAAGTAATTTTGCACAATCTCCAGAAGAGCAGATATCCGTCAAGACGGAAATGGGATCTTGGTATTGGTTATCGTCTCTCATGTAAGAAATTAACTTGGAGACGAGGACCACGCTCTCGTGAAACTCGTCCGGCTCTGGGGGAAGGTTGTGCCCGTTCCCTTGACCCAACTGGGTTAAGGGGGACCGCTTCCACCTCGTTAGGTTTTTTATCATGTCGGTCAACATTTTTTTAAACAGTTTCGACTTCAACGCCTCTGAATTTTGGACTGTTTCCGTACCTTCTTCATTGATGTGGGTGTCTTCCTCAATTTTGTGGAAAAGGTAAAACAGTCGGTTTGCCTTGTCTAATGGGGTAAGCACGGTAACAGCATCTGTTTGTGCTTGGAGTTTCTTTATAAACGAATCCAGTCCCTTGATTTCGACACCGGAGATGGAAACAATGATTTTTTCTGGTTTTGAAGTATTCCGAAGGAATGCCATGTTCCTGTCACCAATTTGAGGAAATTCCTTCAAAATCTGGCACACCTTCCAAATTACTGTAGTACACTGGACAGATCCATGATCAAAAAGATATACGGATCGTTCAAGCAGGGTATGCGCTGCCCTGGTTGGGATGGTCATAGTACCATACTGATTGATAGTAATGGGCTTGTCTATTTCTTTCCTGCTATCCTCCCAAACTAACCGTCTTTCAGACATGGCAACACTGTAAATACCAAAATTTGTAGGTAAAAAATATTATTCAAATCCACATTGTTATTAACCGTGTCAAATTTAATCTAGAAGAAATTTCACAAAGTTTTTTCAACATCTGTAAAGATGTTGAATTAAAAATTTACCTTTGGATTTAAAGCGACAAATCCCTGTTCGAATCGTAAACGGCTGAAGATAGTAATCACTTCAATAACGTGACTATCCTTGAATGCAAGAACGTGTTAAAAATGTGGCAGTCTCAATCAGTGGATCAGTTTTGTCGATGTTACACTATCAATTAAGTAAACATTTGTTAACTTCTTGCACGGATAGTTATTAAGTACTAACAATAAGTAAGTTTAAGTAAAAAAAGAACAATGTGTCCTTACATTCAGTTGGATGCATGTAATCAAAGTTATTAAAACAGGTATAGACCTACCTCAAATTGTGTGAAACACTGATAAATATAATTTGATCTTGGGATGAGGTTGACAATCCTGTGGTATTTGTTTGGACGATTGTGCGAGGTGGGAGGAGTTGAGAGGCTGTTGTACATCTGTAAAATTTAAGTAACTTAATTTTCATCTTACTCAAATTTTTACACAACAGAATGGACATTTATCTCCATACTGCGAATAAATCATTGCAAAAAATATTATGCCGTTGAAGAAAGAAACTGCTGTATTATTGACTTCATGGGATACGCCAAAAACTCTAACCCATTTCACTTTTGGGTCCATATCTTTACTCATGAACATATTTTTAGCCCGAGTCAGGGCTTATGTAACCGTCATGTCTGTCCGTCCGTCCTTCTATCGATAACTCTCTTTAAACTTATCCGATCGGGTTGAAATTTTCATCAAATGTTTATAGGGTGAAAGTACGAGTCAAATTCGAAGATGAGCCAAATCCATCCAGTGGTTGACTGGTGGGTGTCAAATAGGTGGTGGGGGTACTATGCACCTAAATTTCAGAGTAGTCGTAGAAAGCTGAAATTTGGTATATTGGTCCCTAATGGCTTAAAATGAAAGATTGTGAGGTAAAAATGGCAAAATTTTCCCCTGGAAGTACCCTATTGGGCCATCCATACTGATTTTTCTGAATTCACCAATTGAGCTGAAATTTGGTTTGGAGATTGCTAATGACTTCTAGAGATCAAGTGTAAAGTCGTAGGTTTGCGCGTATTTCTGCATAATTATATCTGTCCACCTTAGCCAATTTTTTAACTTCGGATATGCAATACGATATGAGTTTAATTTGTCTGTGGGTGACATTTCCGGATATTTCTGATCTGATTTCGTCACTTAAATCTTTTAAGCAAATGAGTGATGGCGGTTTCTTGATGATGGGAACCACAATATTTGTAACATGTTCGATAACGTTGGCCAAATTCGGTTTGTACATCTTTTCTACATAATTTTTACACTCTTTAATAAATTTTCGGAGTAGAGTTAAATTATTTTTTTCACAAATTGAAAGAAAATTAGTGGTTTGGCCACCCCTTGCTCTACATTAGTTCGAGCATCCACCGGAAATAATTGAATAATCGATATAAATCAGGGAAAATATGCTCTAGGAGATTTCTCCAATCAATTTCAGATAAAACAATATTTTCCGGCAATTTGACAAACCCTTTCACGGAATAACGACAGAAAATTTATATTTCTGTAATCGATAATTCAACTCTTAAATTTATCTTTTATCCCATTCGCATGATTAGTCAAAAATTGGATACCATCCGAAATTTGTTTTAATTTTAGAACCACAACGTTTTCACTCTTGCCGGAAAGATTTACAGGTTCTTCTAACTCGTACAATTTATTGTGTAGTTATTGATTGTAAATTTAGGAAATTCTGTTTCTTTCCAATCCAAAAAATTTCCAGTTTTGTACAAATCTATTAATTCTGCATACAACTTGGTAAGTTTTTGTAATCTAGTTCGAACAATTTTGTCTCGTGATTCTGAATGTATCCAATGAGCTGAACTTTCTTCGATAAGTGGTTAAATATCTTATCAGTTTTATCTTTTTTCTCAAGTGCAATTTCGAAAATGCTTTTACCTCCGACCTGCATACTTGCTTTGTTGTCGAGTAAGTATTTTATCATGAAAATATTTTCCTGCTCGACCCCTTCCTTGAGAAGATTTCCATTTTTTACAATGTCTACAAACTTTTTTTTGCATTTTTTTTATAATCGTCTAAACTTGAGGTATCATTTGTCAAAAGAGCATTCAAAATCTTTCCGTGTTGTCTTTACACTCGACATAATTGGGCGGGATTATTAATACATGTTTTTATAGTGGGTGGATTCTATATGATTTTAAATCTATAATTAGATTCTGGAGGTAATTTTTAGTAACTTAGGTGTCGAATTATGAGCTAATTTACAGGAAGTAGACTAAATACGAGGATAATAACGAAGGATGTGACTCACCGATGCGGAAGTGATTAGGGAGGATGGCTGGTTGAGTTGTTGTAATAGGATTCTGTAATATTGAGTAAATATTTAATGGTATAAAATTAGAGGCTTAGCACGAATTAGAAAATAATACAATCAATAAATAGCCCTTATTGTATAAAATTAATCAAAATCCGCCATACCTTAATTAACTGCTTCAATAAAATTCCAATCTTGGTGACGTGTTCCTCGTCCTCGTTTGTGAAATTATGACACCAGAGCACCAATTCAGAAGCTAATTAAAAACAACATCAAACTTATAAAATTTAAGGTGACGTTTACTGCTTAAATTATATCAACGTGTGCCTTACGTAAGTGGAATTACCGCTCTACGTAATAAACTGAAGTTTCCGCGAATTGTTAATTAAAATAATCAATTTTTCCACAATTGAATCCAATCCAATGATTATAACTGATAAATAATAACGTACATATTTGTAATTATGACTTTAACGATTTAGCGAATGTAAATTGTAGCAATTTTACCTTGGTTGGAATCAGCCAGTTCAATTTTTTCAAAAGTAACTCGAACTACTTGGTAGTGTTGTCCGCGACAGTATTTTTTGCAACGTATTTGTGTGACGTCCGTCTAGTGAGGATGAGCTGGAGAGAATGCTGCATTAAAATGGGGGATTGTAGTAGACATGAGAAATATTGTTACGAATTTTGATAAGACTTTACATCCCGTCTACCACAGAAATGGTTGTGATAAGTGCGAAATTTTTATTATAACGAGATTGCACCATGTCCACGTCAACGCAAACAATATGCACAAACCCGTGCAGAGAATGGTTGGAATGCGAATGATAATGTAAACCACATCCGTCATGCTTATCTAAATATTTATTTTGAAGTGTTGACTTATGCGAGTCTGCTTTGCGTCACACTTCTTTGCATTCCACTTACGCATATAGGAACTTTCGGTTCGCAATGTAAGTTTTTATGTAGACTATCCCTGCTTAAGATAAGCACTTGAAGAGTGTTAAAGATCTCATGTGCAAGTTCCTACGCTTCTTTAATTTGAGAAGGTTGATGTAGTACGGAATAGAAATGTATAAAAGTAGTGATTTTTGAATCTTAAATGTGATAATATAAATAATTTGTTTTCTTTATTAATTAATTGCACGTAAAGTATTCGCAGAGCTGTACTGGTTACACAATCCAATTCTCTAAAAAAAGTGGACTAAAAAGGTGACAATAATTAGCATACATAGGTATGTTAGTAAATGAAAACCATTACATATGCATGTCAGGGTGCCTTGCCACAAATAGATATAAGGGAGATGAGAATTTAAATATCATGTAACATGCATTAAAATATATTTGTTTATGTACATATGTAACTGGTTTCTATAGTTGCAGATGATTGTACGAAGTTCTGAACAAAATTGGAATTGGTTGGACTTCCCAATGCGTATGGGCCATATAATGCTAGATAAGCAGTTCAAATACCTATAAGTAGATTACACACAGAACTTTATCACTAATACTCTAATCTAATACAATATAATATAATAATATATATACATCTATGAGCATTCTATAAGCAAGGCTGCGACATATTCATAAATCCATGAACGAGGACAAGCCCAAGACCCTAAAGAAACGAGTAGGAAGCCGGACCGAGGACCACTCATCGCCTAAATGTGCAACCACTGAATCGGATTTGGAAGAGGATTCGACAAGAAATTCCTTGATTTCCATTCTTAATAGCCTCTGCCCTAGGAAGGATGACCAGAGGATTAAACAGTTGATGCAGGAGACACTTCCGCACCGGTCGCAATTGAGGAAGAAAAATCAACTCTCAATTCTCAATACTTAAAATAAGTTTCTTGATTGTGATTTTTTGGTAAGAAAAGTTTTGAAACATGCTAATTAAATTTAACTAAATTTAAATGCTAAATTTAATTTGTAATTTAGATTTTGAAAGTTGTGTGGTTTAATTCTTGCAGATTTGTTACTAATTTTCTTTGATGTTTGAAAATTCAGCCAACAATTTTGTTGATGTTTGGCCGACTGCCACAAGCTCCACAAGCTCCAATATTCATGCAAAATGGGAAGCAAATCAGTGGATCCCCAGCATTGAAGAAATTTTTGTCAGAGGAAGCAGGTAAATATTGAAATTGATGAAATTATTGCCTCGTGGTAAATTCGAAGAATAACAATTAATTATCCAATTAACTTTTAGATAGCTGGGATATTCATATCGCTGCGCTTTTCACTCTGCTCTACCTTATCCCACCTGCTCCACAAGGACAAGGAAAAGGAAGTAGTTCAAATACTGCGGATGCAAAGGATCTATTAATTTCAAGGTAGAAATTAAGTTGTTGCATATAAATGGTGACATTTTTATCTAAAAGGGTTGCTTTTCGATATAGGCGGGGACACCACTTTCGTCGATTTTGCATACATGGGCAGATAAGAAGCTCCAGCCAAATCTTGTTTGCCTTGGCGACAACAAGAAGGATCTCACCTCTTTCTTCATCGTATTTGACCGAAGAATTCTTCCGACTGCAGCGCTCACCACAGCTGAAGCTATCAACGCCTTATTCAAGTGCCACTACGTGTTCGCCACAGAGTACGACAAGAATTTGTCGGGATTGTGGAAATTTATTCAAGTATGTATATATAAATTAGAATTAACATCGACACAACTCCCACGTAAGGTGAAACAAGTCTTCACACAACTTTCTAGCGTTTTTGAGATAGAAGAGGACACTCAGTAATTATGTTTAAATGTCCAGAATGTCTTAGGTTATTTAATACAATAATAGAAATTAAGGACCATTTAAAGTATATTCATGCCTATGGGCTTTTAAATTTTCATTCGATAGTTTGCCCAGATGAGTCTTGCTCCACAGAAATTAGTAGTTGGAGTGGTTTCTGGCTACACTTAAAATCATTCCACGGGGAAAATAGTTTTGAGCAAGTAGAATTAGTTGAAAACTTTGAAACAGAAAATGTTGGCTCTGAATTTCAGGAATTTGTTTCTGAGTCTTTTCCACTTGATGATTTTGAAATTTTGCAAGAAATATCAGTCGAACAAGGCATTAAACTTTTTACAGATCTTTTATATAATTTCTGTTCCTCATTATTAGCAAGTGGAGTAAATAATTCAACCGTAGATTTAGTAATAAGAGAAATGAGGTACAGTTTTTCACAATTATTGAAAATAATAAGTAATATAGGTCGTAAATTTTCTATGAAAGATTTTGAATCTTTTTCTTGCCAGATTAATGGCTTGTTGGCCGCCTTTAACAATGTGAAATCTTCTTATCAGCGGTTAAAATTGTGTAACAAGCACGATAAAATGATTGAGATTAAAATCATTCAGCGCTAACTATTATTGTCGGATTTGCTGTGTGTCAAAATCCGAAGACAAATTTGATCATTCTGAATTTGTAATCAGAAATAAGGACAATTTAAGGGAGCATTTAAATGGCTTGTCACATGGGGTTGTAAACCGCTGTCCATTGAATGACCTTAATTTTTATTCGTTTGTAGATTCTCCCTCAGTTGATATCATGCACGATATTTTAGAGGGAGTCGTTCCGTTTGAGATTAAAATTGTCCTCCAGAAGCTAATAAGTTTAGGTGGCGTGACATTGAATATTATTAATGATAGGTTACTCGCGCATGATTACGGATAGTTAGATTCTAAAAATAAACCAAGCCCTATTAAATTAGATGGCCAAGGTCATCGGATTGGTCAAAAAGCGGCTCAAGCCTGGTGCCTTATTAGATATCTGCCTATTATTATTGGTGATTTAATTGTAACTGCTGAGCAGAAAAATATTGGGAATTATTAATCGAATTAACTTGTATGAGCTACTGTTTTTTGCAGAAAATTTTCTGAAACTACCATCGAATGTCTAAAATCTAGTATAATTAAGCACCACGCATTATTTAAACAGCTTTTTCCGGAAATACGACTAATACCTAAGCACCATTTTATGTGCCATTATCCATACATAATTAGGCAAACTGGCCCACTAATTTCACTCTGGAAAATGAGATTTGAGGATAAACATAACTATTTTGCCCAATTAGCTAACCATACCCGAAATTTTAGAAATATTTGTTACTCCCTAGCCATGAGACATCAGCAATATAGTTCACACATGTTTAAAAATATGAATTTGCATGATGGTTTTGAAATGGACAATATAATTGAAGTAAAGTTGTCGGAATTAGACGACTCATATGATATCATAGAGGTTTTAAGGCTAATTAAAAGTTTCGAATCTTGTTCGACTGACATATTAGTGTACTCCACAAATCAAATAAAATATAAGGGGTATATGTACAAATTAAATTATGTAGTCTGCTTTGACATGTGGCCTGTCTTCCCGAAATTTGGAATAATTTCTGATTTTATTGCTCAAAGTGAGAAAAAATGTCTACTTGTTGTAAAAGAGATGACGGTTGAATATTTCGACCGGCATTTCTTTGCTTATAAAGTTCTCACAGGAGAAAATATTGTTTTAGTTGATGTTGAAAATTTAATTATACATGATTGTATGGAAGTTCAAAGAAATTGTAAAGTAGAGGGTTTATTTATTAGTTTGAGACGTCATTTGTAATGTTATATTGTTGATAGTAATTTAGAGATAAAGATAATTAATAGTTAAATATGTTTATTTATATCCATGTACAAATGTAATACCTATGTCGTTAAATTAAATAAAAATGTGCAAAAGTTTCTTACTTAATTATAGATTTATTTCCTACAAAACTTCTAATTTATTACCACAAGGAGAAAATTGTTATTACCTGGGAGTGACATTTCATCACCGTAGGTAGATATTTTTATCTCCAGCTAGTAACAAGGATCGTCCCCAGCTTGCATAAATTATACCAACATTGGGAAACAAATTATCTCTGAAAAGGTAGCAAATATGCTTACTACCACTCGGGAGACAAAAAAGATTTATCACCGCGTGGAGGTAAATTGTTACCTTGCGGTAGAATTGAATAGTGCCTACACGCGGAGACGATTTTAGAGACGATTTTGCTGTGAGTGTAGTCTACGAAAGCTGCTTAGGTCACGGCGCTTTTGGACTTGTTCTTAAAGCGGTGGACCCAGCCAAAAATAATTTTGCAAGTGCCGCCAAGTTTTTACTCGTTCCGTCCAATTGTGACGAAGATGACCCTGAACTTGTCGGAATAAGGAGAGAAATTGAAATCGCAAGAAAGTCAGGGTTTCGGATGTTATCTAATAGTTATATTTTAGTACAACTTGAATTTTCTCACTTTTAGCATGTAAAATATGCAAATTCTGAAATTGTTTAGAAATATTGAGCGTCGTATATCAAAATCTTCAGAAAATTAAGGAGTCATCGATTAGAATAAGTATTTAACCGAAATATTTAATTTGTAAGTCAATATCTTCGATATCAGGTCAAATGGAGATTAGTATACAAATATTTCCCTTAATGCCCCGGAATGCATTTATTTCCATTGATTCCAGTGCCAGTGGCATGAATTCCGAAAAAGTGGAATTTACGAAACACTGAAGAAAGTTAGAACCTCACAGAAACACAGAAACGTGGTGCAGGTCCTTAACGTTCATAAAGACGAATTTAATTTGTCAGATATCGAAAATATATTCCCAGACTCGATTCTTCACCACAGACAAGAGCGGATTTTAAAAGACAAATACTCCTCGATGATAAGGTGGGAGAAGGAAAAGAAAATAGGCGGGAT